CAGGAATAAGACTGGGCAGGTCACAGGAATAAGACTGGGCAGGTCACTGGACTATCACTGGGCAGGTCACTGGGCTATCATTGGACAGGTCACTGAAGAATCACTCGGCAGGTCAGAGGAGTATCACTGGGCAGGGAAAAATTTATCTGCCTGCAAACAATCCATTTATAGCAACACAGCTCAAAATCTTATCACCTTACTTTGGTTTGTAATTAGTTGACAAGAGTTTATTCTAGATTTCTGGTCTACATGTCTGAAAAAGGAACAGATAGTGGAGCTGGATTAGGACGGCTGGACTGGGACAGCTGTTAAAGGGAGAGCTGGACTGGGACAGCTGGACTAGGACAGTCAGTTGGCTCACAGCAGATGTTGAAAAATGTCCCTTATTTTTAAATCCAAAACTTGACAGGTTTGGTGTGTCGAACTATGAATGGAGGCTCTGTTTGGTCAAACATTCACTTTGTTTGGTTACCCATTATGTCATTTCCTGTTCTGGTTGTTGTAGACCTACGTTCTGCTGCTGTTCAGGCTATCTCTGTCTGATTTAAGTTATTTTTTCTGTGATATCTCTGGATCTCTGTAACTCTTAACTGCCCAGAATTAAAACGTAGTGCCTTTTGCTGCACTTCTCTACTGAGCACTTGTTGCTTTGGCACAGCTTTATTTCTGGTAGTAAGGAGTAGTTAGCTTAGGTTAGCTCTAGCTCAGGAAAGCTATGGCTTTGCTTGCTCCCTCTCCTCTCCCCCGCTGTGTGTCAGAGGTTCAGTTAGTGACCGGAGGCACCAAGACCAGGGACACCCCCAGGTAGTGGTCCTCCAAAAGTTCTTGAGCAGCCAGGTGATTGGGTAGGGTTAGGTTAAGGGTACGCAGAAAGCGTGGTCGTTGATCTCTGCCCACTGGTCACCACCAACCCGTTCACGTTTCTAACCACTTTTCCCCACTCAGTGACACACCCACTGAGAAGCCCACTCTGGTGATTGGCAGCTCCATAGTCAGAAACGTGGCATTAGAGACACCAGGGACCATAGTCAAATGTTTGCCGAGGGCCAGAATGGGCGACATCAAATCCTACCTGAAACTACTGGCTAAGGATAAGGTTAAATACAGTAAGATTGTTATTCACGCTGGTGGTATCAACTCCCGGTTACGCCGATCGGAGGTCATTACCACCAGCGTGAATAACAATCTTACTGTATTTAACCTTATCCTTAGCCAGCAGTTTAAGGTAGGATTTGATGTCGCCCATTCTGGCCCCCGGCAAACATTTGACTATGGTCCCTGGTGTCTCTAATGCCACGTTTCTGTCTATGGAGCTGCCAATCACCAGAGTGGGCTTCTCAGTGGGTGTGTCACTGAGTGGGGAAAAGTGGTTAGAAACGTGAACGGGTTGGTGGTGACCAGTGGGCAGAGATCCACGGCTACTCTTTCTGC